GTTAATGAGCTGTGCCTTCTGGGAGAAGGCTTTCCCACAGTCGTGGCATTGATAAGGTTTCTCTCCGGTATGAATTCTCTGGTGATTAACCAGCTGTGACTTCTGAGAGAATGCCTTCCTGCACTCAGTGCACCCGTAGGGTTTCTCTCCTGTGTGTGTCCTCTGATGTGGTATCAGGTGTGACTTCCGAGAGAAGGCTTTGCCACATTCATTGCATTCAAACGGTTTCTCTCCTGTATGTATTCTGTGATGATTGAGGAGACTTGATTTCTCCCTGAAGGCTTTTTGACATTCACTGCATTCATACGGTTTTTCTCCTGTGTGAGTTCTCTGGTGTCTAATTAGCTCTGACTTCTCAAAGAAAGCTTTCTGACAAAGACTGCATTCATAGGGTTTCTCTCCTGTGTGAATCCTCTGGTGAGTATTAAGCTGTGATTTCTGGGCAAAGGCTTTTTCGCAGTCCCTGCATTCATAGGGCTTTTCTCCCGTGTGGGTTCTCCAATGAGTTGCAAGACTTGACTTCTCTCCAAAGGCTTTCCCACATTCGGTGCATTCATAGGGTTTCTCCCCTGTGTGTGTCCTTTGATGTGATATGAGATGTGACTTCTGACAAAAGGCTTTCCCACAGTCACTGCACATATAGGGTTTTTCTCCCGTATGAATTCTCTGGTGATTAGTGAGGCTTAATTTTTCACTGAAAGCTTTCCCGCATTCACTGCATTCATAGGGCTTTTCTCCCGTGTGAGTTCTCTGATGTCGAACCAGCTGGGATTTCCTGCTGAAGGCCCTCCCACATTTAACGCATACGAAGGGTTTCTCTCCCGTGTGTGTCATCTGATGTGATATCAGATGTGACTTCTGGGAGAAAGCTTTTCCACACTGAATGCACCCATGAGGTTTCTCTCCTGTGTGGGTTCTCTGATGATTAATGAGACTCGACCTCTCTCGGAATGCTTTCTGACATTCGCTGCATTCATAGGGCTTCTCTCCAGTATGAACTGTCTGATGTCTAATGAGCTCTGATTTCTCAAAGAAGGCTTTTCTACAATCACTACACCCATAGGGTTTCGTTCCGGTATGAATCCTGTGATGTGTAACGAGCTGTGACTTTCTGCTAAAAGCTTTCCTACATTCTCTGCATTCAAAGGGTTTCTCTCCTGTATGAATTCTCTGATGATTAATAAGATTGGACTTCTCACTAAAGGCCCTCCCACATTCATGGCACACATAGGGTTTTTCTCCTGTGTGTGTTCTCCAGTGTGATATCAGATGTGACTTCCGGGAGAAGGCTTTCCCACATTCCCCACATTCATATGGTTTCTCTCCTGTGTGTGTCCTCTGATGGGATGTGAGCTGTGACTTTTGGGAGAAGGCTTTCCCACACTGGCTACAATGATAAGGTTTCTCTCCTGTATGAGTTCTGTGATGTGTAATGAACTGTGACTTCTGTGGAAAGGTTTTGTCAGATTTACCACAGCCAATCGCTATCTCTCTCATATGTCTGCTCTGGTGCTTCATGAGACAGGATTTCTTACTGAAGCGTTTCCTACATTCACTGCATTCATAAAGTTTCTCCCCTAAACGATTTCTGTGATAGATGATAATCTGTGACTTCTTATAGTTAACATTATCATATTTATCACACTCATAGTGTTTTAACCAAGTATCAGTTTCCTCAGGCTTGGTATGGAGAAACAATTTATCAAATACATTTAAGTCATCTCGTTCTATTTTTCCATAATCAGCTTTTGGAAGAAGTAAATCTAAATGACGTTTTAAAGTTAATCCATCTACATCACCTTCATTGTATGATTTCCTTAAAGGAACAAAGTTTATGCTCTGATTGAAATTTTTTCCAAATGCATCACATTCATAATCTTGTTTCGTATTTTTAGGCTTCCCTTGGTTATCTTGGTTCCACATCATGTGACTATTTACTTGAAAGTCTTGTTCTATAAAGAAAAATGACATTGGTTATAACCCAACCAGCGTGGTTCAGTGTTTGAGCATAGACTATGAACCAGGAGGTCACGGTTCAAGTGTGGGGCATGCAGAAGGCAGCCAATCAATGATTCTCTCTCACCACTGATGCTCCTATCTTTCTCTCTCTTCCTCTCAAATAAATAAAAAGATATTTTTTTTAAAGGGAGGAAAAGAACAAACTCTTTGGGAGGAATAATGATTGTTCTCTAATACAGTAAGACTGAACAGAGTGGGCTTTCACTGGGTATTTCTCTGGGCATCAGACACCCAAAATGAGGAAAAAGAGAAAAACTCTTAAATGTACAAAATAGAGGTTTCACCAACCAGAGGAGAAGGGAGGACACAAGGAGAGTAACGTGCCGGAGGCAGAAAACCAAACAAAAAGTCAAAGACCAAGATGTGACAGATGGGAGACGACATCATGACCCTGGAACCATTTCACTTTAGCCAAAAGCAAGAAGCCACGTGTAAAAAGAGCACGTACTTGATAGCTGGTGCCAAAGGTTGAGAGAATTTGGAAGGAGCACTCCACAGCACATGTCAAAGATGCCACCCCCATAACCAGCTGAGACTGTACTTGTACCGTCTCCCATCTGCCTGGTTCTTATACACTCACCTGGAGAGTCTGAACTTGGAACTTCTCCATCTTCTATCCATGGTGCTTCTCCTCGTTCCAACTTGAAAATGACATCAGGTTTCATAAATTCATACCCTATTCAAGGAAAATCACAGAGGTTTTGGCCCTGAATGCTTGGGCTTTATGGCCCCTGAGGAATGGGCACGGTTTGGCGTCAGAATAGACTCAGTTAAGCTAACCGTTTGTATATCAACAGAGTAAGTAATTCTCAAAGAAATGGTAATGGTCTCCCTGGTGGCTAAGAGGGTCTAAGAATCTTTGACTTACTTTTATGATTCCTGTCCAAAACCATTAAGCGATTCAGAGGCTTGAAGCCAGTGAGCCTGGGCTCAGTGAAATCCAGGCTCTTTCATTTCCCAGCTGGCATTCCTTTAGAAAGTTACTTAACCTTCCTTTCTTCAATGTCCTCATTAGAAAAACAAAGGAGAATAATCATTCCTGTCCCACAGGGTTATTCTAATGATTACGGAGTCGATACATGAACAGTATGTGGAACACAGTGAGTTGTCTACATTAGGTGCTACCAGTACCACTGTGGCTATTATTGAGTCTCAGAGGCTGCACAATGCAAGACTTCATTATTGAAGTCTTCATCCAAATACTTTCCCTGGGGTCATAGTCCAAGAAACTTTGGACTTCTATATTTAGATCCAAAATCATTAGCAATTTCAGAAGTCCTACAACTCTCAGCAACGAAAAAAGCAAAGAACTGGGCACCATGAGGTCCTGTGGGAAGCTTCCTTACCCAGTGCCACCAGGCTGCTGTAGTTCTCCAGCATGACATCCTTGTATAAGTCCTGCTGACAGGGGTCCAGCAGCTGCCACTCCTTCTGGGTGAAGTCCACAGACAAGTGTTCAAATGAGATTGACTCCTGTGAAAGCACAGTCCTGGTGAAACTGAACCAGTTACCACTCCACGATGCAGAATAGAAGTGTTGGCGCTTGAGAACATAATTCTTAGCCTAGCAAGTCCTAGACAATGCCTACTGTGCCCCTACCTTTGTATCATATTGTGGGATAAAATGCCATTATTCATTCTTCCATCATTCCGTTTATGTCACACACAAGAATTGGACCACACAACTTTAAATCTTCTGAACCAATAAAATACCTAACCTCAAATTTGGCACCAGAAGAGGTGCTGGCAAAATAAAAATGATAAAACTTGTCATATTCCGTTACATTAAAAATCTATTGTTTTATCTTGTTGTTTGAGTGACTCATTTACCCTTAATGATTTTACAACATATGCATTGGGCATGTGAAACATATTGGTCCCCTGAGTTAAAGTCTCATACACACAAAAAAGGCTTTACCAGTTAATTCTGTAAACATTTAATGCAGTAATTATTCCAATTTTACTAAACTCATACAGAATATTAAAGCAAGAATATAACCCTAAACTTTTTGATACCAGTATAATCTTGGTAACAAGACCCAATAAGGATACTGCAAGAAAGGAAAAGCAAAAGCCAACTCACACAAAAACACTGATGAAAATCCTAAACATATTACCAAACTATATTGAGCAATATATAAAGAACAAAATATATTAAGACCAAGTTGGTTTACCATTTTTTAAAAAGGCAATGATATTCACTACCTTAATAGAGTAAGAAAAAATATATGATCACTTCAAGGGATGCAAAGTATATCTGAAAATGGAAGCATGCAAATCACAGGAACTGCAAATATAGATACACCTAACACAGAGTTTTTAAAAGCACATTTAAATTTTTCAAAAAGAAGGTCTAGATTTCATAAGGAATAAATAGAATGAAAATGAATAAACAGATTAAATAAACAAAATTAATATACCAAAAACTGAAAAATAATTAACATTTATTTGTTATAAAAAGTCTTGGCAGCCCTAATCAGTTTGGCTCAATGGATAGAGTGTTGGCCTGTGGACTGAAGAATCCAAGGTTCAATTCCGGTCAAGGGCACAGGCCCAGGTTACGGGCTGGATCCCCAGTGGGGGGTGTGCAGGAGGAAGCTGATCAATGATTCTCTCTCATCATTGATGTTTCTCTCTCTCCCTCTCCCTTCCTCTCTGAAATCAATAAAAAATTTTTTTGAAAATAAATAAATAAATACATTTTATGTTACTATTTTATCTTAATTGCAGGTGGGGTTGGGGGGATATACAAACAGCCTTGATATATCTTGCCAAACTAGAAAGCAGTAATCCAGTCAATAAAGAAAAAATGATAGAAGTGGGATGTTATCATTTTGCAATGCCTAATGAAATACTCCATCTAGGTCAGCGGTTCTCAACCTGTGGCTCGCGATCGTTGGAAAACACATATAGCATATCAGATATTTACATTACGATTCATAACAGTAGCAACATTACAGTTATGAAGTAGCAACGAAAATAATTTTATGGTTGGGGGTCACCACAACATGAGGAACTGTATTAAAGGGTATTAGGAAGGTTGAGAACCGCTGCCTTAGATGGAATTACTGGGACAAACCAAGATTTAAAAGAAGCATGATAAACAAAAATATAATTTTGATGCATAAAAACACTTGCACTTTCGCCTTCTTCACTGTAACTGCAATGATGTCACAAACAAACAGGTAAAAGTGGAAGGACAGAGATGCGTCTGCGCCAGCGCACAAAGCCAGACGACAGGGTTTCAGGATGAATCTCAGAAAGACACTGCACAGAAAAGCAGGGACCGGCTATGAAATCGGGCCCTGGCTCCCTCTGAGGGGAGAAGTCTGGCGGACAGGGCATCACGAGGCTGTCCTTGGTCCGAGGGGAGTGTGACAGGGACCGAGGTCACGGGTCTTTGTCAGGGGGGAGACGTTATGACCTGAATGGGAATTTCATATGTATTCAACTAATCATTCATTAAACTGTACTTTTTACCTTTTGTTTACTTTTCTGCATATTTTTTCTTTTAATTTTATTCTGCATGTGTTTCTGCTTCACAATTAAAGAGGTAAATAAATAATTATAGTCACACTCAGTGGAAAATTGTGAAAAATGGCCGTAAGACACGTGTGTTTATTACAATATTTCTCTTGAGGACATTACCCGCTATATCATTTATTAAAAGACTTCATCAACGAGTGAGTATATAAATATTTACTTTATATGAAGAATTAATTTGCTTTTCTCTTTGGACAATACAACTCACATAAATGTTCATATTTATTTAGTACATCTGCCCAAGAAATTGAGAACCAACAGTGCAGCTCATTTTCAGTAATTATGGCCTATAACAATGAAAAACTTAAGAGTATCACAAGGGCCTATAGTTAATGTATTACTGCTCCAATTTTGTTCCAATCCAGATCTTTTCTTCTGAAGCTATTTGCCCCTAATTCCTTAACTATTTCTATTTTTCTTTTTCACTGGAAAACTTACATACTTCTAATCTCCTGGAAAAATAACCAGGAATAAACAAGCCACTCACCTGTAACGTGGTCATTTTCTGTTCCCTGTGTGCGGTGATTAGCAAGCCTGAGCTCGTTCTATGCTGCGCTTCCTCCGCTCGTGCCCCAGAGCGCTGCTGTGAGGTCGTGGCTGGGTCTCGGACGCTGGGAACGGGTTCTTGGCTCCAGGAACTCCTTTCTTAGGTTGGCAGAGGAGGCTCATGTGTGAGAAACCAGGGTCTACGGACTTAGGGACAGATGCACTTCAACTGGCACAGTCACACTGACCTCAAATGCTCTCTTGCTACGAACTAGGAATTCACGACCAGCTAAGGCCAGAGGGTGTTTCCTATACAACTGAAACGGGGTTATTGGGCAGGAGGGGGACCTGGTGGGAAAGAACAGAAGTCTATGTCTCCGCAGACAGATGACGTAATATCAGGGCCCTGGCTGGTGTTTCCCTGTGGTTAGAGCATCGGCCCATACACGGAAGGGTCGAGGGTTCGATTTCCAGTCCAGGGCAAGTGCCTGGGTAGCAGGTTCGATCCCTGGCCCAGTAGGGGCATATGTGGGAAGTAACCAACCGATGTGCCTCTTTCACATCGATGCCTCTCTCTCTTTCTCAATCTGCCTCTCTCTCCTCCCTCTCCCTCCCTCCCTTCCACTCTCAAAAATCAATGAAAAAAATATATCCTCGAGTACAGATTAACTAAAAAAAATATAGCAGAAATAAAGTAAGTCTGAGATCCATTCCATGTTCACTGTGGAAAGTGACGTGTAAGTCACTTTAAGAGGAGCTGTGGCCTGGCCCGTGTTGTAGCTCAGTCAGTTGGACCGTCATCCCATGTACCAGGTTGTGGCGGGTTCAATTCCCGGTCAGGGCACATGCCCAGGTTGCAGGTTTGATCCCTGGTTGTGGCGTGTACCGTAGGCAACCGATTGATGTTTCTGTCCTGCATTGATGCTCCTTTCTCTCTCCTCTCTTCTTTTTAAAAAAAAAATCAATAAAAAGTTTAAAAAGAAAAAAAATCCACAAATTTTAAAAAGAAGCTTTAAGAGATGCTGTGAAGATACTCTATTTTAGGCAGATAGAATCTTAGAAAGCTTATTGGAGAGAATATACAGAACTAAAAATTTCAGGTGAACAGGGCCTGATAAGCCATCAGTATGGTAGTTGGAAAATATTTCTGATGCAATTTAGGTTTGCTACTCAGAACAATGAAAACTCACCCTTATTTTAGTTTAATTTAAAAAATGTTTTTGGCCCTAGCTGGTTTTTCTCAGTGGTTAGGACGTCAGCCTGTGGACCGAAGGGTCCCAGGTTTGATTCTGGTCAAGGGCACATGCCCAGGATGTGGGCTCAATCCCCAGTAGGGAGCATGCAAGAGGCAGCTGATCAATGATTCTCTCTCATCAATGATGTTTCTATCTCTCTCTCCCTCTCTGAAATCAATTTAAAAAAAATGTTTTTGGAAGTTGGCCCTTGCGGGAGAAGTTCCCCCTGAATTCTTATATTTGGCTCTCACATGTTCCCTCAGCAAATGGAAACATAAGCCCTTCATTGTCGGGTTTTGTTTTGTTTTTACCTTGGCAGTTTCCTGGATAACGTGACAGCTCTCAGTGGCAGCTCTCACATTTATCTTCAGATGGAAGCGGCCGCCTTCACCATCATCCTGCAGTTCCACCCAGCACCAAGGTCTGAAGGAATTTCAGAGGAAAGGCACAGAATCAGTAGAAGTGACATTTACACTTACACGTCAGTGCCTTATGCACCGTATTGCCTTTTCCACTGCACTCAGCACACAGGTTCATCAACGTGCCCGACATCAAGGACATGCCTAGGAAGTGGCAGGTCTGGGCCATTGGTCCCCTGCATCCACCCGAGAGCAGTGACCACAGCAACTCAGCGACAGTGGAGGGAAGGGAGGACAAAGGCCCAGAGTCCTGCTTATGGTCCTCGTGTGGGAGCGACACAGTCCCGTCCAGAAAAGACAGCAAGGGGCAGAATAAGCAAAAAAAGACAGAGAGCTGATCTCTCTCTTTTTTCCTGAGGACACGCCGACTCTCCTCTCTCATCCCTCAAGGCACAAATCGCTCTCCTTCTTTCTCAAAGTTTTAAGAGCCCTTCTGCTACTTCTGTAACTTTCTATAAATTTTCCCTTACTAAAAAAAATAATAATAATAAATAGCCAGTTGAAAAACCCCCCAGGTTAATTTAAACTTACCACTTGGGTCAAAATATTCCAAGTTACGAAAAGACATTCATGATATACTGTAATGGTTTTAAGCAGCATATACAGCAGAGTCCCAGTTTTGTGTTTTTAAAGGAAATATAAATAAGAAGTACTAAAAACATATACACACTAATGGCTCAAAGAAATGGACCAAAATGTTAGCAGTGACTATCTCCTGTTGAAGGAATAATGATTTTCATTTGAACCTGTTTATCAAGATGCTCAGAACTGACTACGGTGGACACATTTTAAATTTACAATAAAGAATAAATTTTTTTAACGTTAGTCCTTAAACCAAAAAATAAACAAGAGACAAGCAGAGCACTTTCAGTTTAGCATTACATGATTGAAACAAAGCAAGCAGCAAATACTTAGAAAGTATGTTTTAATGACAGCAAAAAGCATGGAAACTCGGGGGCGGGGGGGTGTCATTTCTTTCCACTCCCTCACTTTCATAGGAAAACCGTTAGACCCAGAAATCGTCAGTGGAGACTTAAGGACTTCAGGCCAATGATGACGTTCCTGCCACACCAGCAGCTGTCACCAGTGTGTGTGTGTGTGTGTGTGTGTGTGTGTTTTCGGGGAATGCGGAGGGGGGTGTCGTTTGCCTTTTCTTTTCTTTCTTTTTTTATTTTATTTTAGGAGAGAAACGCTTTGAAAAACTGTTGATTAACGTCAAGCTGAGCTGGGTGAGGTCAGGGTGGAGGGGGATAGCAATGGAGTCACCCTCAGCACGGGACTAGCCCTGGGGATCCGTGCACTCGCACCATCAGCTCTTTCTGTTGGGCCATAAGCCCCAGCCCTTCCTTCAACAGGACCGGACCTGGGCTCCCGGCCCAACTCGTCCAGGGATGCCACGTGCGGGAGGCGCCAATTTAAAAAATCGGCCTGAAAGTCCAAAAGAAGTAAGAACCCGGGGGGGCAAGGGGTGAAGCCTCGGGAGACAGGGCCCTTCTCTCCCGCACTCGGAGCCCCGTCAGGACACCTCCGAGAGCCTGCGACCTGTGCGCGCAGGCCCGGACCTGACCCCGGCCCCCCGCCGTCCGGCCAGGCCGCGCGGTCCGGCCGCACCCCACTGGACACCCCGGACTCACTGCCGACATAAGCGCCACGGCTACGGGCCTCGAAGCCTGCAGCCCAGCGACCCCCAGATCTCCCACCCGGGGCTCCCCCACCCCGGGACCCCACACGCCCCAGCCGCCAACCCAAGGACCGAACCCGCAACAACGCCAACACCGACTCCCCAAGTCTCTGACCTCGGACGCGCCGGCCCCGGAACCACGTGACCCGATCGCCGCACCCAGGCTCGCCGCACCCCCCGCCCCGGGCCAGCACAGCGCCTCCAGCCCGTGGGCCTCCGTGCGACCCCGGCGCATCCGCGGGATCGGGACCGGCTGCAGCCGGGAGGGTGTTCGCGCGCACTCGCCTCTCACGCGGCGCCGAAGGACAAAGAAAAGGGGCGCTACCTGCAAGCGTCGGTGGCCATGGGAACGCGCGTGCACGTACCCGGGAAGAAGACACCTTCGGACTACATTTCCCAGAAGGCCCGGCGGCCCGGCGTCCTAGCAGCGCTGGTTGCCTGGAGACGCGGAAGGGCGGCGAGCTCCGGGAGTACGCTTTCCGGAGGGACTTAAAGACTAGGATTTTAAAAGATTAGGAATTGAAACCGAAAAGTAGGTTTCTTAAAAAAGACAATTGGCTTAAGCATTCCATTGAGGGAAACGGAATTTAAAAAAATTGTGGAAAGCAGAGAGGAGTTAATCGGTGGGAAAAGGTAAAGCCGATCCTTCATTCCAATGCTGTGGGTGAAAGTGGTAAATATATTAGTAACTATTCCCATAAAGAGAGAAAGGGTAGGAGGAAGAAAGGATAAATAACCAGACACAGCAAACTGAATGAGAATCCTCTCGGTGCTAATAAATTTGAAAAATGTTAATGGCACAAATAGATATATCAAATTTGACCCAATAAATGAGAAAAACTAATCATGGATGAAAACGAAGACAATTTCAGAGATTCTCTGTCGAAAAGCACCAGTCATGGAACCCTGGCGAGTAGCTCAGTTGGTTAGAGCGTGGTCCTTATTCGACAAGGTTTCTCTCTCTTTCCCTTTCTCTCCCTAAAAATAAATAAATTTTAAAAGTAAATAAAAATAAGGAAAAGCATCAGTCATTGAGTTTCTGGTGAATTCTTCCAGACATCCAGCAGAGAATTATTATATTTAAATAGTTCCTGAGGAATTAGGAGGAACCTTTTATATTTATCAAATAGCATAGGACACCAAAATCAACAAATGTAATGATTTAAAAAGGAAGGGTAGACAAAACTTAATTACTACTATCCATGCAAAAATACTGAGAAATTATTAACAGAAGAAGCTGGCAATACCTTACAAAAATATGCTATAACCAAGTGGGTTCTATTCTAGAAACACAAAGATGATCTGGCTACCCATTAATATTACCTTATCAATAAGTCAAAGGAAAAATATAATCACTTCAATAAGATTAAAAGAAAAAATTTAAGTTAAATGTGCATTCTAGCCCGGCTGGTGTTGTTCAGTAGATGAGCATCTGAGCATATTTTTCAATTTTTCTTTTCAGTTCCTTTATGAACTTTAATACGCAGCATTTTATTTTTTAATTTTTATTTATTTATTTTTTCGCAGGGGAGCTGCTGGGAGGTGGAGGGGACGGAGAGGAGAGGGAAGCGGCTGGGAGGTGGGAGTGGGGGCGGGGGGAGGGGTGGGGTGCTAATACATAGCATTTTAACATTTTATTAATAAATTCTCAGTTTATGCAAGTTTTTAAAATATTTATTCCTGGATCTGATTTTAAATTCAACATAATATAAGACCTATTATTCCTAAGTGTTTTATCATGCCTGTTGATATTATGGTCAGTTTTTCCCGCTCCCCCTTGTGTATTTTCTTATTGGCTATTGTGCTATGAACTGAATGTGTACCTCCAAAATTCATATATTGAAATCCTAACCACCAGTGTGGCTCTATTAGAAGATGGGCATTTAAGAAAATAGGGTTACATGTGGTCATAAGGTTGGGGCCCTGATCCCGTAAGATTGTTGTCCTTAATAAGAAGCAGGGAGCTCTCTCTCTAGACACACACCAAGGAAAGGCCATGTGAAGACAGGAGAAGGTGGCTGTCTGCAGGCCGGGAAGAGAGCTCTCACCAGAAACTGGCCCTGATGACATCTTGGTCTTGGGCTTCTAGCCTACAGGACTGTGAGAAAATTAATTAATTTCTGTGTTTAAGGCAAGCAGTGTGTGGTATTTTGTTACAGCAGCCAGAGACGACTAAGACAGATGGCATATAGGAAAATATTGATTTGTACCTAGCAACATTGCTAAAATCACTTTTCAGATCTTGCCTCTAATAACAATAATTCTTGCCCGAGCTGCTTTGGCTCAGTGGATAGAGCATTGGCCTGCGGACTGAAGAGTCCCGGGTTCCATTCTGTTCAAGGGCACATGCCTGGGTTTCGGACTCGATCCCCAGTAGGGGGCGTGCAGGAGGCAGCCAATCAATGATTCTCTCTCATCATTGATGTTTCTGTATCGCTCTACCTTCCTCTATGAAATAAAAATATTCTTTAAAAAATAAAGTAACAAGAATTCTTTCTCTTTCTTTTTAGTCCATATAATTATTAATCTTCATTTTTTTGTCCTCTTGCATTGAATAGTATGCCAGTTCAATGCTTAACAGTATGAGAAATAGAATTAGTAGGTCCTGACTTTAATTATGTTTCTAAAGTTTTGCTTTAATTATGTTTGCTATGGGGTTGGCAGTTGTTTTTTTATCATCTTAAAATGAAGTTACCTTTCATTCTGAGTTTGTTAAGAATTTTATCAAGAAGAATTGCTGAAATGTATTGAATATTTTCCTTAAGCTATCTGGGTAGTAATGTTTTTTATATTAACCTATTTCTACATTAACTGGTTAATATGATTATTGGACTTAAAAATAAAAGTTATTTTGCCAGCAAAAATGGGTTAATTCAGGACAAGCATGCTATAGCAAAAGCCATAGGCAAGTTCAACAAACAAAAGAAAGGAATGCTATTTTATGGAGAAAAAGGAAGAAGTTGGGAGGAGTAGTTTTGAACAAAAGTTCATTGGGGAAAAGCAAGAGTACAGGAGGAGGGTGGTTTCATTGGCTGAGCTGCAGGGGTATTCGGTTTCTCGATTTCTTGTAAGAGATGCAATATATATCTCTTCTGTTGGGGCCTGTAATTGGTGATTCTTTCCCTCTGACGATTTCTTATGTTGGGATCTGTAATTGGCAATTCTTCCTGTAAATGACATCAAGTAGTACTGTGTGAGAGCTCCCCCTCTGGCCTCCTGATTCCATTTTATTGAATATTCCCTTTACTAATTTTCACAAGATGAATATATTAATAAACTCTAATATTGAGTTATCTTGGACATATTATATATTTATAAGGTTGAACAATATAAATTTGTCCTTTTGGTTTGAGTCAAGTTGAAGAACGTAACATACATGCACTACTATTTATCTAATACAAAGAACTTATTCAGATTCCATCAATTGTCCTGATAATGTCCCAGAAACAAAATTTGGGGTTGGTATCCAATGTCAAATACCTTTAGCTACATTACACTGGAGCAGACTTTGTCTCATGACCTCAACATTTTTTTAAAAAGTGTGTCCCATTTTCATGCTGAATGGATCTCAACTTGTGTTTGTTGGATATTTCCTCACAATTTAGATTCCAATTATGCATTCTTGGCAGGAATACTACAGAGGTGATGTTGTACTCTCAGAGATCATATCAAGAATTTCAAAATATTATGTTTGTACCAGTAATGACAATATTAATTCTGATAGCTTAAGGTGATAAATGCCATATTTGTCTTTTGTAAAGTTACTATTTTTCCAATTGTAATTAATAAATATTCTGTGGGCAGATGTGCTGAGACTAATGAAATATTCTCTCATAAAACTTTCACCCACCTAGTTTTAGCATTCACGGTTCTTGCCTTTCCTTTGGTATTTATGAAGTGAAATTCCACTGTAAGGAAGAGCTTTCCCTTCTTCCCTACTTGTTTATACATTTACACCAATATTCTAGATTTTGGTACTAGAAAATAGGGTGCTGCTAAAGCAAATGCCTAAAAATGTGGAAATGGCTTGGAATTGGTAGCAGATGGTAGAGTTTTGAGGCATTTGATAGAGAAAGCCCAGGCTGCCTTGAGACAACTTGGTAGAAATACAAATGGTAAAGGTACTTTTGGAAAGGTGTTGGGATAAAAATGAGTCACATGTTACTGGAGATTGAAGAAAAAGGAGATCTTTGTACTAAAGTGGGAGAGACCTTGGCTAAGTTGTGTTCTATTTTGTGAAAAGTAGTACTTACAGTGAACTGGAATATTTAGCTGAAGAGATTTCCAAGTGCTCTTTGGCTAAATGCTCTGTCCTCTGAGCCCACTTGGGTGGTGGCCCTGCTCTCTCCTCCCTGCATGGTAGACCAGTTGTCTGGAATGTAAATAGCTGTCACCTTCTAGAACTGAGGTGGTGGTACTGCTTTGAGGTCATTCCCCTTCCCCCTTTTTAAGGTTAAATTATGTTTACAGCTAGATAGCTCTATCAGCTTGTTTCCTGCCTGTAAAATTTCAGAAGTCCCACAACATTCCTTCATTTCAACCCTTCTCTATCCCCTTCTGTCCAAGTTGGTAGTATTTCTGCTGAGATAACTAATTGGATTTATAAGTCACACACCTAACATCTTTAACAAACAGTTGTTGTCCAGCCACATCCTGGGTGTTCTCTCCACAGTATGCTTTCTCATTTTTAGCAATATGGATAAATGGAATCTTCCAAATATTTACGATATAATTCCTTTCTGCTTACCAATCCATTCTCCAATTTATCTCTGTACTCTATTAGCAGCAAACTGCAGCTAGCCAGTGGGCTGTAGTTTGCCAACATGTAGTCTATGTCCCTGAATGAAGAGTATACAGTGCAATTTATCAGAGCTTGCTAGGCTGTTCTGATTCCTCAAATATCTCTACTCGAATTATCAGACTTTTTCTAGACCAATGCATGTTCACATAAGGGATTAATGAGCATTTGAAATGAATGACTTTTTTAATTCAGCAAGCCATATATATATATATATATATTTGCCTTCCACTATCTGAACCCTACAGCTATGAGTAAGCAATTATTTCATTAATGTCACAAGAGTTGCTTTGAGGTGAGATTTCAGGGCTTCAGGTCTTGGTCACTGTTTAAGAGCTGATTGCAGAAGTATCCATCTCATCTCCTGTCCCA